AGTGGCGTGGGCTCCTTCGCGCCCCCCGCCACTGCAGGTCGCCAGTGTTCTTGGCGGTCGGCGGCTTATACAATGTGCGCCACGCTGGGTAGGTCGGTGGGGAAGCCGGTGGCCCCAGGCGCCATCACCACGGTGTATCAGGGCGGCCTGCCAGCACCTGAGCATGGCGGACACAAACCACCCAGGCATACAAGCTTCTACATGATAGAGAAGCAAAGGGACAACCCGTGTCACTAATCGGGAGGCATGGGGAGCCTCAACAGCATGCCTGGCCCACCGGCCAACTCCGCGGCCACAGTCGGGGTGACCGGCAGTGAAGGGAAAGCCTCACTCGCAGCATCCATGGCCCGCGGGATCTGGCGCGCCCAGAGATGTTTGTCCAAGGCGGCCACCGCCACCAGTGGGAGGGCGGCACGGATGTCACACAGGAGATGACCCATGGTGCAGACGGAGTGCACGCCCAGCCGTGCGGCCAGCGCCTCGGGCAAGAGCCAGGCTGACCGAGCGGGGTCAAGGAGATGGTGCAGGCAGAGGACATGCACCTGGATGAGGGTGGGTGTGAGGCTGGCAGAGGCCAGGCTCAGCACGGAGCACAATAGGGCTGAGTTGTGCACCAGAGGCTCCCTCTGCAGCTGCAGGAAACACAGTGTCCGGGCTTGAGGCTGGAGGCAGAAGGCGGCCTGCCAGGCTCGTACCACACTGCGATAAAAGGCCAGAAGCACCGCCCAGTTCAGGAGCGTGGGTGTCAACAAAGAGCTCCCGGTCAAAGCCAAGGGCGCCGACCTTCTGCAGGAACCGGCACGCCAGTTGTTGCCATGGCGGCTGCTCCTCGCTGTAAAGCAGTCACTGAAGGGCCTGCGGGCGGAAGGCTGCCACCCTGGTCGCCAGGTCAGCCAGACCCTGGCCCCCCTCGGGGACAGGCAGATGAAGAACGGCTCGCGGGAGCCAGTGGCGCTCATCCCAGAAGTCTATCAGGTTGCGCTGGAGTTTCTCAAGTAGATCCGGTGGGGGGGGGGGGGGGGCGGTGGCGCACCCCG